CAAATACTTTGATGAATCCTGGTCACGTGCCACCTGAGGCATGTTGCACATATGCTAAGAAGAATCAAGAATGCACAAAGTATAAATCATGGCAAAGAGCTGACTTCAGTTTAAAAACCAGTGTTCTTCTAGCACAATGCAGCTCTTGCCAACGGAAACTCCTGAAAGTTGCTTATGATCCCAGGCTTTGCATACTTGAGTTAGCGTTCCTACTGCACTTCCTTTTGGCTGAGAGAAAGCAAGTATGGTGTCAGTCTAATATTGGATTCAGCCTGTTTCTGGGGAACTGTACCCTCTGTGCCAAGGGCAAGGTAGAGTTTTTTCCCATCTCTAACTACTCTACACCCAGAAGGCAGCATTCCCAAAGCTGGTTAGGTATCGGTAAACTAGGCAGCTGCCGAAGATGGCAGGTTTGGCCTGTTCACCCCTCTGTCATGAAGGAGGGACAGCCTGGCTAAATCTGCCACTCAAGGCCTAGGAGGAAGAGGGTGGCATGTTGACATGTTGATTGTTTTGAGTGGCCTCTGGGTGGGTGTCTCCTTTCCTTCATCTTAAACTGTTTATGCATAGGTTTCTGAGATGCCTCCAAGCTTTTGGGTAAATGGTTTCTATTATAGACTTAGAGAAGTGAGAATGAGACCTCATTTACTTTCAAACTGTGGAAAAGCTTTTGCTATAGCACCATATTATTAACCTACAAGGTCAGCAGGTATGCTCTAGGGGAGCAGATAAAGAGCTGGTTAGCTCAGACATTGGGAGTGGAAAATTTCATCTTTGTTTGGATACTGATACTGGGTGTTAAGACAGAGGCTACCTGTGACTACAAAGTGTTGAGGTCAGAGCAAGGATCAATTTTTGCTTCACATGAAAGAGTTGAGTTAATGGGGGTTATAGAATGTTTAAGTCAGTGCAAAATCTGGGTTAGTTTCTCAAACTTGATGCTTTCTGAAAAGAAAGGAGTTGGAGACCATCCCTACCACCTAATTCAAAGTGGCTTAAAGTTAGGAGCAGGAAGCAAAGAAATGGCTTATCTAATTGAATGGGAAGCGGGTTAGGTAATGAGTCTTGACATAGACAAATCATAAAAAAAGGGAATACAGGAGCACTCCGTCTAGTGCTGCCCTGTAAAATTACTAAACAGGGGAATGAGCTGTGTGAAGTAGTGCATGAAATTCTCTGAAATCATCACCAGAGCGCAGATAAGCAGTTTTAAAAAATGGGCTATGGGATAATAGAATGATCCCTTAAGGAAGCAGCATGCACTTTTTTAATAAACAGTTTTTAAAAGGAGTTAATTTTTTATTTGTAGGAGGAAAAAATGCAGCGGGCTAAAACCAAGCCCTGAAAAGGCTTGTTTTATGAGGAGACATTAAAAAGAATGAGGCTGGTCATCTTAGAAAAGAGGTGACTGAGGTGGGCTATGATAGGGGTCTCTAAAATCATGAATGGTGTGGAGGAAATGATAAACAACACTTCTGTATTCCCTTCACATAACACAAGAACCAGGGGTTTAAAACAAACGTACGGAAGTACTTTTACACAACACAGTCAACTTGTGGAACTTGTTGCCAAAGGATGTTGTGAATTCCAAAAGTATAACTGGGTTCAAAAAAGAATTAGATAGGTTCATGGAGGATACATCCATCAATGGCTATTAACCAAGACAGTCAGGGAAACAGCCACATGCTCTTGGTGTCCCTAAACCTTGGACTGCTAGAAGCTGAGACTGGATGACAGGGAGTGGCTCATTCGATAACTGCCCTGTTCTGTTCATTCCCCTGAAGTATCTGGCACCAGCCACTGTCAGAAGACAGGATACTGGGCCAGATGGACCATTGGCCTGACCCAGTATGGCCATTCTTATGTTTGTAATCCTGCTTATTAAAAGGTCATACTTCTGGGTGGGTGTCTTCTGCCCTGGTTCCACGCAGTTCCTGGAAGTGGCTGGCATTTTTCTCCAGCTCCTAGGCAAAGAGAGGCTTGGCCACAGGGGCTCTGCATGCTGCCCCGCCTCAAGTGCCGGCTCGGACAGTGTAGTGGGAACAGCGGCCAATGGGAGCTGCAGGGGTGGCATGTGTGGCCGGGGGCAGCGTGCAGAGCCGCCTGGCCTTGCCTCCACCTAGGAGCTGGAAAGAAATGCCACCCGCTTCCGGGAACCACCTGAGGTATGCGCTACCTGGAGCCTGCACCCCCTCCTATGCCCCAGTCCTGAGCTGCCTCCTGCACCCAAACTCCCTCCCAGAACCCGCACTCCCTCCTGCACCCCAAACCCCTTGTTCCCGGCCCCACATCAGAGCCTGCACCCCTAGCTGGTGCCCTCACTCCCCCCACACTTCAACCCTCTGCTCCAGCCCAGAGGTCCCACCCCATCCAAAACTCTCATTTCTGGCCCCACCCCAGAGCCTGCACTGCTAGCCAGAGCCCTCACCCTCTCCTGCATCCCAGCCCCTGTCCAGCCTAGTGAAATTGAGTGAGTGAGCAAGGGTGGGGGAGAATGAGTGATGAAAGGAGGGGGGATGGAGTGAGCAGGAGGCGGGCCCTTGGATAGGGGGTGGGGCAGAGGGCAAGGGTGTTCAGTTTTCTGCAATCGGAAAGTTGGCAACCCTACTGTAATTCCTGGGGCTCTGATCTATGATTGAGGCTAATAGTGCACTAGGAGCCGTACGAACCAGAATAAAAAGATCCTTGCCCCACAGAGTTTACAAGCTAATATGGATACTGACAGACTGACTGAGGGAATACAAGGAAACAATGAGACAATATTGGTCAGCATGACAGGCTGCTGGTGTGCTGAGACCGCTGCCTAACTGTAGTCAAGTTTTTTGTAGGCATGACAGCATATGATTAATTTGAAGGAGGATAATGAGGTAGGTTTGTGGACGTTTATGGGGATCTCCTCTCAAACATGAAGAGAGGAGCATGGGAGGAAAGCGTGAAGGTGCTTGTTTGAAAATACAATAATTACATGATGGAGGCTACACTTATTGACCTATCAGGCATGGAAATTGACACTGAATGAAACATTATGGCTACGGTGAGGATAAGCTGTAAAGGGCCTTGAGAGTGACAATAAGTGGCTTATGTTTTTGATGCGGTAGAGGCGGAAGCTAGTGGAGGGATGCAAAGAGGAAGGTGATGTGGTCAAAGCAAAGGGCTACGAGTGACTTTTTTTTAAAATCAGCCTTGTGAATGGGTATAGGTGGAGCAAGATTGTATTTGTCAAGGCCAGAGAGAAGGATGTTGCAGTAATTGAGATGCAAGATGATGAGAGCCTGGGTGAGCATTTTAGCTGCATTGATTGATAGGAAAGGTGGTATTTTAGAGAGATTATTTCTGCATAACCTGCAAGATTTAGGTATATGTAGCCCAAGGTCCAGTGTGCTTCAACAGCAGCCCCAGAAACTACAAGTTGTGGACTACAAACTGAGGCATGCTGGGAGAACTTGCTAGTTCCTGCCAGGATGTACCCTCTGTTCTTCCAGCAGGAAGTCTCAGCACTGACTGAGCTGGGAGCACGTAGCAGGCAAGCAGAGAGGAGGCTACTGGACTGTAATCCTGTTCTATGTTCTTTACAGAATAAAGCCTTGTTCCTGGTGGTTTGTCTGAGTGGGTCTGGTCTGAGGTGAACACACACTGACACACAATGCAGTGCACATAAAGGAGCCTCAGGCCCAGTTTCCCAAAGTTGTGTAAAAAGTCGCAAGGCAGGCTTTTACCCTATCTTGAACAATCTCATACTGGACCAGTGAACAGGAGAAGAGACTACATATAGCCTGGATGTGGCAACGTAGAAAGAGGTTTGAGTCAAAGATGTCCAGATTACATGCCTGTGTTGTGATGGTGTCCATTGTAATCACGAGAGGACGTGGGAGGACTTGAGTTGATGTCTAGGCATCCACAAGGAGACGTTGGGGAGAGAGTGGGAGGCACTGAGATTTTGGTTTGGACAGAAAGAGACAAGCCTGGAGTAGATAGGTAGATCTGCGCGTCATCAGCATGTGGAGATGGTAGCTGAATTTGTGTTTTGCAGATGAGATTACTTAGAAAAAGAAGAGAAGGGGACCAAGGACAAAGCCATCATAACCCCTGCAGAAAGCTGGGGGAGGAGGAGTATCCTCTAAAGGAATGATTAGAGTGGCAGGAGAACCAGCATAGTACAGAGTCGCAGAACCCAAGGGAGAGCAAGATTTAAAGAAGGCGATAGGGTGACCAGATAGCAAGTGTGAAAAATCGGGATGGGGGTGGAGGGTAATAGGAGCCTATGTGAGAAAAAGCCCGAAATATCGGGACTGTCCCTATAAAATCAGGACATCTGGTCCTCCTAGGAGAGCATGGTCAACTGTCATCAAGGAGGATGAGGATGGAGTACTGGTTCTGAGTTTTGGCTAGGAAGAGTTTCAGAGTAACAGCCGTGTTAGTCTGTATTCGCAAAAAGAAAAGGAGTACTTGTGGCACCTTAGAGACTAACCAATTTATTTGAGCATGAGCTTTCGTGAGCTACGAAAGCTTATGCTCAAATAAATTGGTTAGTCTCTAAGGTGTCACAAGTACTCCTTTACTTTTATACAGGTTTCAGAGTAGCAGCCCCGTGTTAGATTGTATCCGCAAAAAGAAAAGGAGGACTTTTGGCACCTTAGAGACTAACAAATTTATTTGAGCATAAGCTTTCATGAGCTACAGCTCACTTCATCACTTTTATACAGAACTCTAGAGTCCTAACAAGCCCTTCTGTTCCTACAGGAAGTGTTAACTTAATTAGGAAACCTCTCCTATCAGATGATTTTTATGTTATGCTGTAACAGTTTTTTCTGAGAAAAGGACTGCTGTTCTATGTAAGCCTATATGCATACAGAGACTCATAAATACATTCTCCTATTTGCTTTGTTATATGTATTTATGGTGATTATTTCTAAGGAGGGTGAGGGGAGCATATTATTTCACATTGGGAAGTCTTGTTTTCATTCCTGATTAGTGTACTAATCAAATTTTCTTTTCTGTAGCTAGCTGGAGTTGCTTTCCTAGCAGCCGGGCTTTGGGCATGGAGTGAAAAGGTAAGACTATGAAGGATTGTTGATGTTGCATTAACCAATTTCTTAAGTGTGTTTTAGCTTCCCATCCTCAAGAAACAATAGGAGTTAAAAACATCTGAGCTAAATTCTTAAGGAAAAAATAATTTACTACTTTATAGAATAAAGTCCTAGTTTTTGCCCTTCATAGGGATGGTTGTGTCTGTAGGGCCTATGTACAGTAGGCAGCACAGGTATAATATCCCTCTTATATTTTGCTAGATTAACCTATTCTCCCCTTCAAAGTCCTGTGGTAGTCACCCCAGCATCACTCCGTTATTTTTCCATTTGCCACGAGGAATGAGCTGGATTAAATATGTACAGGTATACAATTCAATCTACCAAGTGTGGTAGCTGGAACCATCCATTATGATGATAATGGTACCCTTTAGTCATATGTGTCTGACCTTTTTTTCTTAAAATTTCTTTTTGTTGCTACCAGCATTGTTGTGACTTGCTTGTGATTAGAATTGAACAACAGGGTTTTGGAACTGCAAGTGCCTGTGTATGTATTGTTGAGTTGCTGTAATTGGTAGTGGAGGTGGGATGTTTGTAGGGGGGAAAAAGTCTGAGCCCTAATGTCACAACTTCTGTTAACAAACTTTTTATTTTAGAATCTATTATAGAGATGCAATACATCTATTAGGTCATCTAGTCCAATTCCCTGTCAGTAAATCACCTTATTGTACACCTACTAGAGTTTTATCTACTCAAATTTTAAATGAGCTGAGATATCCCCCACTTGATATGACAGATTATTCCAAAGGCTAGTAGATCATAGTTTGGAAGCTTTCTTGATATTCAACCAAAATTTTCCCTTTCTTAGGCCTTGTCTACGCTATGGGAGTAAGTCAACCTAAGTTACGCAACTCCAGCTACGTAGCTTAGGTCGACTTACTGCGGTGTCTGCAACCGCGCTGGGTCAACAGGAGACAATCTCCCATCGACTTACTTTATGCTTCTCTTTCCGGTGGAGTACCGGAGTTGAGGGGAGAGCGATCTGTGGTCGATTTAGCGGGTCTTCACTAAAATTTGACTAGATAACTCTTCATTAGACCCGCTGAATCGACTCCCAGTGCATCGATCCCTGCAGCATCGATCCCCGGTAAGTTTATACATTCCCTTAATTTTTTTCCCATTACTCCTTAGGTGTGGTAGATAACTGAGATATCTCTTCCCCATCTCACTTCATATGCTGTTGAGGAACTGCTAAATGGATTTGAGAGCAAGGGCTGGAATTGGCAAAATATAAACAGTATTGGGAGAAAAAGCACTTATTGGAATTTCAGTTACCGATTTGACCAACAACCAAAGTGAATTAGATCGGAGAAGGATGAGGCAAAAAAAGCTTTTTCTTTTAATTGGTTAAAGAAAGACATGCCAAACATGCATATCTAAGAGCTTTTCTGTCAGTTTTCTTAATCAGTCTGTCTTCTCATATACAGTAGGCCAGGGTGACATTACTTAGAATCATGAAATGTAGGGCTGGAAGGGACCTTGGGAGGTGATTATAGGGCCCGGGGCTCAGGCTGCTGGCGCGGTAGCGACGGTGGTAGCCGGGAGTCCCGGGCCCTTTAAGTTGCTGCTGGAGCCCCGGGGCAGCGGTGGCAGCGGCTGGGAGCCATGGGGCTCTGGCAGTGATTTAAAGGGCCAGTGGCTCTGGCTGCTGCTGGGAGCCCCGGGCCCTTTTAAATTGCCGGGCCCCAAGGAACCTGCCCCTTTTGCCCCCCCCCCCCCCCCATTGGCGGCCCTGCCGGTATGGTCGTCTGTGTACTGGCTCTTACAGGTATGCTGTACCAGACCATACCGACTTACTTTCACCTCTGGTTAATACACCCCAGAATGATAGTCACCTTTTTCACAAGTGCCTCACATTGTTGGCTTACACTCAATGTGTGATCTACTATAACTACCAGATACTTTTCTGCAAGTACAACTACCTAGTCAGTTATTCTCCATTTTTGTATTTGTGTATTTGATTTTTGCCAGCCTTTTTCCTGGTTTTGTTAAGAAGTTTTCGTTTCGTTGGTGTTGGACAGACATGCTCTCTAAGCAGCTACCTTGCTCAGTAGGTGCATGTTAAATACAGACAAGTATGCAATGTTTGCTTCCCTTATTAGAAATCCATCTGAGCATTTTCAGGGGTCCAGCAGAAGCCATGTATGTAATGGGGCCTATTCTTCCTTCATTGTTTTGGAAAATGGAGAAAGTTTGAGCTAATTGTATTATAACATACAAGGTTTTCCACTGTCAAAAAAATGCAAACCATGAATTTCTTTTGAATTTCTCCCTATTCTGGTAGGACTGCAGTATGAAACTTAGTTCAGTGTATGAGACCATGCTCCTTCCTGTTGCACATTTCCTATTCATTCTGTGAACATTGTAAAGCTAAACAATTAACCTAAATGGTTTCTTACCTAAATTCCCTTTTCTCTGAATTTTATGAGAGATTTTAACATCATTAACACTTTTCTATTTATAAAACACAAACAGATCTTGAAGAATCTGCCTTCTCTTCTTAAATTTAATTAAGCTCTTCCTGTGCTGTCCACAGTTTAAAAGAGGTGCCTAGTATTGTAATTACAGAAATGGCTAACGCATGACCATCTCCATGGTGGATTATGCAACACACTGGATTTGTTTAAGAGGAAACTTTTGCTAAATGTATCTTCGTATACTGTAAATTGTTAGATCTCTTTAACAGTTCTGTCATTTTTGCGCACGGCATTCTGCCTTCCCATCAGTTAGCTCTTGCTGTTGATGCTCCCAAACCTTGACAATGAGCAGTATGATACCGAAGGTCTGTGGCTTAAAGACCCGTAAACTGTGCATGTACTTAGCTACAGATAAGATAAAACAATCAGTGAGAAAAACTAGTGTCTAAATCCCTTGATGTTCCTGATATTCTTCAGCTCTCCTGCAGATGAAGTGTGGATCTGTCCTGTCTACTTGCCTGTGCAGATGGAACTCTGAATGTACAGTAAAGAAACAACTCCATGAGCTATGATGCTGCAATAAAACGGGGAGATGAATTTATTTATAAAGCAAAACAAAGTTCACCAATGATGGAGGTGGATGTGGGAAGAGCCAAGGAGAAGTTCTGAACTCTTCCCCGGTGCAAACTGTTAATCTCATCCAAACGTATCTGGCACTTACATAATTCTGAATTCCTCACATTTTTCCCCTCCAGTCAGAATTAATTCAGCTTGATTCTTCAGCAGGGTTTTTTTTTATTAGACATTCATAATCATGAGAGAGTCTACATATTCTCAAAAAGAAAAGGAGTACTTGTGGCACCTTAGAGACTAACCAATTTATTTGAGCATGAGCTTTCGTGAGCTACAGCTCACTTCATCAGATGTTTACCGTGGAAACTGCAGCAGACTTTATATACACACAGAGAATATGAAACAATACCTCCTCCCACCCCACTGTCCTGCTGGTAATAGCTTATCTAAAGTGATCAACAGGTGGGCCATTTCCAGCACAAATCCAGGTTTTCTCACCCTCCACCCCCCACACAAATTCACTCTCCTGCTGGTGCTAGCCCATCCAAAGTGACAACTCTTTGCATAATCAAGTCGGGCTATTTCCTGCATAGATCAAGGTTTTCTCACATCCCCCCCACCCCCATACACACACAAACTCACTCTCCTGCTGGTAATAGATCTACAACCTATCCTAAAGGATGACCCAACACTCTCACAAGTCTTGGGAGACAGGCCAGTCCTTGCCTACAGACAGCCCCGCAACCTGAAGCAAATACTCACCAACAACCACATACCACACAACAGAACCACTAACCCAGGAACTTATCCTTGCAACAAAGCCCGTTGCCAATTGTGCCCACATATCTATTCAGGGGACACCATCACAGGGCCTAATAACATCAGCCACACTATCAGAGGCTCGTTCACCTGCACATCCACCAATGTGATATATGCCATCATGTGCCAGCAATGCCCCTCTGCCATGTACATTGGTCAAACTGGACAGTCTCTACGTAAAAAGAATAAATGGACACAAATCAGATGTCAAGAATTATAACATTCATAAACCAGTCGGAGAACACTTCAATCTCTCTGGTCACGCAATCACAGACATGAAGGTCGCTATCTTTAAAACAAAAAAACTTCAAATCCAGACTCCAGCGAGAAACTGCTGAATTGGAATTCATTTGCAAATTGGATACTATTAATTTAGGCTTAAATAGAGACTGGGAGTGGCTAAGTCATTATGCAAGGTAGCCTGTTTCTTCTTGTTTTTTCCTACCCCCCCCCCCCCCCCCCCAGATGTTCTGGTTTAACTTGGATTTAAACTTGGAGAGTGGTCAGTTTAGATGAGCTATTACCAGCAGGAGAGTGAGTTTGTGTGTGTATGGGGGTGGGGGAGATGTGAGAAAACCTTGATCTATGCAGGAAATAGCCCAACTTGATTATGCAAAGAGTTGTCACTTTGGATGGGCTAGCACCAGCAGGAGAGTGAATTTGTGTGGGGGGTGGAGGGTGAGAAAACCTGGATTTGTGCTGGAAATGGCCCACCTGTTGATCACTTTAGTTATAAAGCTAAAAATTCACCATGCTGGACAGTGGAGTGGGAGGCCAGGAATTGTTTCATATTCCCTGTGTGTAAACTTAAAGTCTGCTGCAAGTTTCTCGGCAAACATCTGATGAAGTGAGCTGTAGCCTCACAATTTTCCCTCCAGTCAGAATAAATTGGTTAGTCTCTGAGGTGCTTCAGCAGGGCCTTTTTTTTTTAGACATACAGACTAATCAGGCTGTTCCTCTGAAATCTACATATTCTCAGCGATTTTGGAGTGGAGAATGCCCAGGCTATGATAATTGGTCAGAGTGAAGTGTGCAACAGCTCCTCTCTAGTTCTTGTACTTTTTGACAAATGCTGATTAAAAGTAAAGTTCTGTTAGCATGTTACTGCTGCCAACCTGGCAGCTCTAATGAGAGCCCACTCTGGCAGTTTGTTTTAAATTATAGAGGAAGGTGTAATAATTCTTAAATATCATTGGGGTGCTATCCCTATCCAAAGAGCAGCAATCACAAAATTTCCCAAAAGCAATATCCTTGCCTTATATTTACATGCTTATTAGAGGACAGTATTGAGTCTCTAAAATCCCCCTTTTGTGATGTGTATTTTTAGTTATTCCAGCGCTGGTGTCTCTGTTGAATAGCAAGATGGCAATATACAATGCATTGAGAGAAGTAGGCTGCTTCTATGAATTATATTTCTGAATTCTCTGACCTCTCTTTTTGCTATTAGATTTAGTTTGGTTGAGAGAACCACACATCTTCATTTCATGGCGTAATTGCCAGCACTGCTTTGTAAATGGCACTCTATAACCTGTTGATCTTTACCCATTTTTTATTATAGAGTGAAAGACCGAGGTCTTCCTCAGTTTAGAATACGTCTTGTATTCATATTACTGGTAACTTGTTGGAAACCTTCATGCTTTCACAAAGTTGGCGGCCACATGGATATCACCAAAGATCGGTCTTGCACTCCCCACTTTTTCTTTATCCTGTCTCTGTCAACAAAACAATACTAAACCTTAGTTTGTCCCATGCTCTATTACTATATTAAATATTATTGCAATTATACTCTCATTTACTTTCATCCGTCTGGAAAGATCATCTTTGTAGTGTACGTTTATAACTGGTTGTACACTTACATTTTGTATGTAATTTTTAGTAATTTCTATTATGCTAGTGTTAAGAACTCAGTCAGCACGAATCAGGGCTTCATCATACTAGGTCCTATGCAAACACATAACAGAAAGATACTCATAGAACTCATGTTCTAAGATTAGGCAAACTACAATAAGCAAAGAGGAGGTGGATGAACAAGTATATAATAAAGACAGGTGCATATGCATAAGCTAGTCATAATGGTCAATGAAAGCCAAAACAATGTTGTATTTTGGTGTTGGAAGGTAAGTGTTGCTAAATAACCGTAATGTGTTCATGTCATCATGTGGTCTCAAGGAACTATTAATTTGTCTTGATGTAGGTTCCCCTGTAACACTGGCAGAAGTTTGTTTGTTTGTACATTGCTTTCCCTCGGTTTGCAGAAAAATGTCCAAGGAGACCCCCAAAGCGTGGTAGTAGTCAAGATGAATTGAATTCAAGAGTACAGCAAAATGTCTTGAGGGGAAAAAACCCATGTCTCTCAAGACAAAAACATCCCCTACAGACCCATCATCTGTAACTGGTTCCTTAGCAGCTGTGACATTGTTCAGGGCTTTAAGGTGGGAAAAGATGGTTCTGAGGCTTGAAAGCTCCCTATCTGATTGCCACACTCGACATGCTAATTGTTTTGCTGTGGCCCGAGTTCAGATCCTCAGGCTTGACGCTAGGTGGAAATGATGTGATGGTTCCAGGCTTTTAGCACCATCTTGTGGTAGCCTGTTTAGTTGAAATCTCCGTGAAGATTGAAATCTCCATGAAGATTGATTTTTCTGCAAAGCTAGTGCTAGGTTATGAGTTCTTCTTTCACCTTTCTTACTGCAGCTCTGCTTCAACTAATTTGCTGTGCTGGATGAAGAAATGGTGTGATTGATCAAACACCTATTTATAAACAATTTTCCAGGAAAACCTCCTTGTGGTGTGCAAGCTTTCCCTAGGCCTAGAGGGTCACATGCAAAAGGTGTTCATGGGGCTTGTGAAACCCACACACCTTCTGTGTGTAGTGTTCTGTCCCAGCTAATGGCACCGAGACTACTTAGAGAGCAATTAATGAGTCTGCTCTACAGCTTTAACTAATAGCCAGTTGGCTTTTAGCTCATGCAGTAGAAGCTCATGCTTTAAGCTGCAGAGGTTCCAGGTTCGATCCCATCTGCTGACAAGCAGGGGCTGTCAGCGTTACAAGTAGGGAAAGACTCTGATGCGCGAGACGTGCTTCCTCAGCTAGGGGAAGTATATAACCCACACACCTCCTGGGTGTGGTGTTCTGTCCCTTCTAGTGACACCAAGACCACTTAAAGCAGATGTGGGCAAACTACGGCCAGCGGGACACATCTGGCCCATGGGATTGCCCTGCCCCTGAGCTCCTGGCCCCAGAGGCTAGCCCCTGGCTCGTCTCCCCCCCCCGCCCCCGCCTCTGTGCAGCAGGGTTGCACGCTCATGCAGGGCAGCGTGGCAGTGTATATGGCTCCAGACATGCTGCTCTGAGTGGTATGGTAAGGGGGCCGGGGGGTTGGATAAGGGGCTGGGGGTCCCGGGGGACAGTCAGGGGAGGGGAACAGGGGGTGGTTGGATAGGGCAGAGGTTCTGGGGGGTGGAAAAAGGGGGGTTTGGGTAGGGGGTGAGGTCCCAGGGGGCGGCTGAGGGTGCAGGGTCCCGGGAGGGGGCAGTCAGAGCAGAGGGAGTTGCATGGGTTGGGAGTTCTGAGGGGGCAGATAGGGGGCGGGGGCCAGGCTGTTTGGGGAGGCACAGCCTTGCCTACCCAGCCCGCCATACAGTTTTGCACCCCAACGTGGCCCTCGGCCAAAAAGTTTGCCCACCCCTGACTTAAAGAGAAAGATAAAATGAGTCTGCTCTACAGCCTTAGCTAAGAGCCAGTTGGCTTTTAGCTCATGTGATAGAGGTTCATGCACTAAGCTCCAGAGGTCCCCGGTTCGATCCTGCCCGCCGACAACCATGGTCTGTCGGTGTTACAAGTGGGACAGAACACCTGTTAGCCGACGGCCAAGGATGTTTGGTGAGGTGCCAGCTATGCCCGTTTATACCATCCGTGACTTTAACCGCTAGGACGCACTGTCCCTTCACGGCGGGCAGCCCGGGCTAGGCTGACGGATGCCCCAAGGTCCTAACCACCCGTGACTTTAACTGCTAGAGCTCAGAGCTCCTTCGCAGCGGGCAGTCAATACTGACTGACAGGTGCCCCAATGGCAGCACTAAGAGCCTCTCCACACCCGTGACTTTAACTGCTAGAGCTCAGAGCTCCTTCGCAGCGGGCAGCCAGGATTGACTGACAGGTGCCCCAAGAGTTTGCCCCGTGGAGGCGGCACAACTCAACGCTAGGCTCTTAGTACTCTCACCTAATGGCCAGGCTTTAGAGCCAAAACGGCTGAGGTTCTTTAATTGTGATGGCTGCTTTACAGTAAACCAGAGAAAACAAGTCAGGCTTATGCATAAATGGTTACCAAAATTTATTAAGCTAGATTCTAATCATGTGGTTACAAAATTGCTAGTGCCTACTTATTTAAATGTAGAGATGTTACACACACACAAACAAGTTACAAAACTGAAGCCACAATCCCAAAGAAAGAAAACAAAGTATAGAGCTCTATTTCAAAATATGTGTACACTAAAGATAGGAGATCAGGTGTGGGTGCTTCTTACCCTCCTTGCATCTCTCGATTCCAGCGGTGCCAAGCCAGGATCGGTCACTCAATTCCGCGGAAAGACGAATAAGGGACAAGGCGTAGGGACCCTCTTAGCTGCAGAAGCCTTGGGAGGCTGTCACTTATCTGACCAGCAGATAGATAGTGAAAAGCACTCAAAAATCATGGTGCTGTAGGTCCCCTACTTATACCTCTGTACTCCTTTATTCTCTTTCTCCTTTCTTATGCCAAATTGAGGCTGGTCTGTCGGGGTGACGCCAGCTTTTGCAAGAGTAGTTTACACTTGCAAGGGAGAGAAACAATAAGTTTCGACTACTGGACATTTCTTTTATCAGGGTAAATATTTTCCCACCTAGGATGTTGGTGTGTGTGCATCACGCTACTTAGTAGGGGCTAAGAGCCAGGTCTGTCACAGGGCCTCTGCCTGCTGTGAGCTTAATCGTCGTATCTGTTCCCAGAGGCACATTGTAGCAGCACACCTGTGCTTCAAAGGCTGTGCTGGAATATATGTTAAGTGCCCTGTTCCGGCTTCCTCCTGTGTTTCCAGCAATGCTGGTCTGAGGAGGGGGGGGGGGGGGGGCTCGCTGTCTGGCTACAACACCACAGCCAGGAGGTGTGTGGGTTACAGTTGCATGTAGCCTTTTGTCTATGCACCTTTTACTCCTGTTCCAGAATTTCCTCTAAAACATCAATGTAGCATTAGTGGCTTCTCCATGCTTAATTTTTGTTTTCTTTTTAAGTGCCTTTGCATTCCCTTTACTGAAAGCCTGTCCTAGCTCTTATTTAGCATAAGACAATAACAAAATAAACTAGACTTTTTTAAAAATTTGAAACTCTTCTCTCCCATATAGTTTCAGCAGCCCTGCCTACACAAGGGTAAAAGAAAGCTTTCATTTGTGGAAAGTTGACATAAATGTGCACAGCTGCAGATTACCATGAATCAGAGTATTTTTTTTTTCTTCCTAGCTTTCTGTGTTTCCAGGTGTGAAATGGGAGAGGGGAGGATTGGGCTCTGCTATGTCTTCCTGGGGTAATCTCACTGTCTCATTCCCTCTGGGGCAGAAAGGCATCACACTGCTCACACCGCTGAGCTTCCCATCTCTCTTCCCTCCCACTCTGTCCCTTCTTTTTTTTTCTGGTTTGTTGGGTGACCTGTGGGGAGGCAGGTCAGGAAGCTGGAGAAGCTGAAGGTTAGGGAGGCCTGGTGCTTGGATGGCTTGACCCTTGTGGGACATATCTGTAGGTATAATACACAAATTGGCATGTGGAAGATTGCACATTAAAATTTTTCCAGAGAGTATTTCTGTGTTATGGTGGCTATTTGCACATACATTGAATTGATAAGCAAGTATGAATGCAGGAGGATACAGAAGTAGAACTGTGGGGGAATAAAATACGACTCCTGATCATGAAAAACGTGGTCCTTTTGTTTACCTGTTTTCCCTTGTGATTATTCTCTTTAGGGTGTATTATCTGATCTCACGAAGGTAACCCGTCTCCATGGCTTTGACCCGGTGGTACTTGTCTTGGTGGTTGGAGGAGTGATGTTTGTTCTGGGATTCGCTGGTTGTGTAGGAGCACTGAGGGAAAACATCTGCCTTCTGAAGTTCGTAAGTAACTTGGTGGTGCTGTCTGGTGGCTCAGTGCTCAGGGAAGAGAAAGGATAGTGTCCCAGTTAAAGAAGAACTGTTAAGTGAAACCAGACATTTGAATTAAGCACAGAAGTGTGTGGTAAATGTTCCTGTTGATGTGGCTGGGGGTGGTATCCACAACAGTAGTACATTTAGACGTACCTCTTTCTTTCTCTTACATTCTGGAATAGGTTCTGATACCAGAAATCTAACTGCAACCCATAGCACTCCTAATGTCACAAAATTAGGCATTCTAGGATAGACTTCAAAAAAACAAAAAATGTTGAGAGGATTTTGTGGAAAATTTTTATAAACTATTTTTTCCTTAAGTTAAAATGCATTTCTCTTCTGAATGGTTGGTAGGTGGAACTGTGGGACCCCAGCACAGAAATTAATGCTTAACTCAGTTTTAATTCTAATGTTACACTGGATCCAGAAGCTAACAGCTTAATTGAGAAAAGAATTGAAATAAAAATCCAAGTAGCTACCTTTGTCAGGACCATTATTTTCATGTGTTGCCATCTCTGACTGGCTTATTCCTTTTTCATTATCTCTGTATTACAATGGACTATGACACAGTGTCTATGTTCACTGCAGACTTTAAGACGACCAAATAAGAAGATAACTCCACCTATTGTATTTTGTTTCCCACTGTGTTTAATTTTAATTTGCCTTGTGTCTTGATCAGATTTGTACTTTGTGAGCATTTTACTGAAGTCCTTGTATCTACTTTTAATTGAGTTGAGATGTGGTTGTATTTGAAATAAGAGTTTTGTAATCTGTGCTCTGTGACTTTATTTTGCAGTTCTGTGGAGCAATTGTACTAATATTTACATTGGAGTTGGCTGTAGCAGTGCTGGCTTTCTTGTTCCAGGACTGGGTGAGGGACCGGTTCAAGGAATTCTTTGAGAATAACATTAAATCCTACCGAGATGACATCGACCTACAGAACCTTATTGACTCACTGCAGAAAATTGTAAGTCATCCTTTAACGTGTCACATTTTCTGCCTCTCTCTTTCACCCTAAGAATAATCTTAGTCTTTGAGGTTTTCCAGTTGTTGGGATAGCATTTTAAAAAAAAAAATGCTCTCTCAGGAGATTTAAAAAAAAAATAAAAAAATTACTTTAAGTTCTGCCTTCTTTGGACTGCCCTGATTTTACTTAATGGTGTCAATAGATGTGTCGCTCCAGCAAAATGAAGATAACTCTCAGTACCCTAAAATAATTCTGCAACCAAGCAAACTGCATAGCTGTTGACTTAATCATCACATCGCGTTTACATGGACTTCACTGTCCATGTACACAGACACAGTGCAGGACATTTCTGTTTCAGAAACCTAGACCTCTACCACTTCAGCCAAAGAAGACTATCTTAAGTATAGAGGTATTGGGTCTTATCCTCAATGGGCCAGTCTCAAAGGGTACTTCTTCAGTACAGTAAGCCTGGGTGATCGACGCCCAGGTTAGCTTAGCACAGGGGTGAGCAGCCATACTGCAAAGCCCTACCTGAGTTACTGTGCACTCACCTGCATGTATTACAAGGATTTCTGTGGGGCATGTCCCATAGGCTCTTGTGCTTCAGTAAGCTGAGCTGCTTTCTGGTTCTTTCAAAATGATTTGTTGGAGAACTTCTCTGCCCTTCTGGGTACGTGGGAAGGCGTTGCAGGCCTATCAGCACTCAAGTGATTTAGCTTGTGTCCTGCAAAGTTGGCAAGTTACCAGCCTGACTGAAAGCAGAACCTGGGCTCTCACCCTGGGCCAGCTAGCCCAGATTGAAAGTACCACTACACTCAGATGAGAGGTCTGTGTGTGTGGACAGGAGGGGAGTTAAGAGCAACACCTTGTGCAATGAAGGCCTTTCCTAAAGAGTAAGACAAGTCTACTAATGGGAGTGGTGCTAACATTCCATTCATTAGAGGACAATGGCATGCATGCACACACCGGGATATTACAAGTCCTACGGTAATAATTGAGTGGTGGTTTTCAGATCAGTTGGCCAACAGCTTCGTACCATAATATAAGTATGCAAGGCAAAGCACACCTCTAATGCTACCCATGTGCTCAGTAAGCACTTCATCAGGGACAAACTTTGGCCCTTCAAAGAATAACCATTGTGTATGTGAGCTCACACAGGCTGTGGTGAAGGGGGTCAACTTCCTCTGTTCAGTGTTTTTCCCCCCATGGCACACAAGATTTTTATAGGCAATTTCTTTCCATCCTTTACAGGCTAAGAACCAGAAATCAGTCTCTTTGCCAAGGATTCAGAAACTGTTAACAATGCTATTTTGCACTTGCATTCCACTTGGATGGTTGATGCAAGCAGTGCCCCAATGCTCTTTTTGTCCATTCATCCAGGTGTTAACCACTAGATGTAGAAGTGGTTAAGCACTAGCAGAAAGACTGACTCAGATAGTCATATAGATTCTTGGAGATGTTCTAATTCTCAGATTTCTACACTGGCGGATGCCATAGGCAATTTGTGCAATGTGTTGCTCTTTAATAGATCCGATTAGGTCACCACAGCTCATTCTTACCTGTTCGCAATGAGTTCTCAGCATCAGTAAATGTCTCAGCTCAGCATGCTATTTTCATGCTTCCTGGTGTTGCTATTGATCCAGGTTTAATACAATGAGACAGGCTAATGTGCTAAGCTGATTTACAGGTGAACCCTTATTAAATTCTCTCAATAAAAATAAAAGGCTAAATTTCCCCAAAAGAGAGTTCCACAGCTAGATTATCAGGTTAAGAAATGTGGAAATAAAGCCAGAAAATCTCTGAATAAGCCCGTCACTCACCCACAGTGGGGAACACGGTTAGGCAACAGGGAAACAACTTGACATCCATCACTAAATGTAGCTCTGTAAGATTGAGGAGACCCTTCAAGAAGGTACTGCCATATTCTTTCAGTGCCATGTTGAAATCCATCTTCTAACTAGGCACGGGCTGACTTGCAGTGCCTTCAATATGTGACTCTGGGCTAGTGAAGAGCTTTTTGTATACAGCTCATTGCATTGACTAATGCAAAGTCATATTACCTTGTGGCTTACATTTGAGCAGGGCTTCTCCTTTATAGCCTTACCTTACTTATGCAGACTGATTGGCATTTTTAGTAGGAGCATGGCTTCTAGCAGTGATTTTTTTGGGTGAGTGGAGCAGGGGAGAGTGGGAAGGGAGAAGGGGTGGATGAAAAGGCGGAAACCCACTTGCTGCTGTCTCCAAGTTTTTATGTACAACCTCTGAAACATATTGATTTAAAGAAGTAGAGGGAAGGTATTGACACAGAATTATTTTTAGCAGTTTTTTCCCTCTCCTTCTAGCCACTACTGCAAACCTTTTTTCCTCCAAAGTTAATGCATTTTTTCTGAATCGCCCAAACTGTTGTGACACTGTCCATTCTAAAACAAACTTATTTTCCAGTGTTGTCTGTTGGATGTTGCTGTTCCTGAAGTTATTGTTGATTAGTTTTTTTCTTTCGAATGGAACACATTATATTTGGTCCACACTTCCCATAATATTTTAAAATTATAATGGAGACTTTTGAAAATGTCTTGTTTCATTAATCAGGCTATTTTCTCTGGATCAGTAAATTTGTTTGTTTGATTCTTTGTCTTGTTAGCTCAAATCATGTATATATCTTTTTGGTGAAAAAGTTTCAGGAATGTATTTCTGATTAAGCTTTGTAAATTTCATGGCTTTTGTATACAAATTTCACAGTAAAATGGGGATGGGAAAATCCTACTTTGTAGTGGAGATTTCAGGTGTTTAATTACAGTTTCATAAAACACTGATATTTTAGGAAAGTTCAAGCTCTGTAACATTTTTCTGTATTTGCTTATGGCAAATGTTTGTGTAACTGGTCTGTGGAGGGTGGGACAAAGTTGTACCCCTATAATTGTTCAAAATTTGCTAGTTGTAGTTTTGCTTTGCTTAACAGTACCTCGTCTAAAGTATAAAAACACATACATCGCTTGATTAATATGAGAATCAAGTCCGCTTAATATAAAATGGGTACAGCGTGGGTGGACAGTGGAAGTGCATGGTTTCCATAATGTATCTACCCGAACCCAATGGGATCAACTCATAGAAGTGAAGTGATATTTCATTTTCTGAGGCCAAGTCTGTCCATGGCCTTTCTTCTGATACTACCATTTAGAGTGCCAGTTGTGATGACATTTCTTGTCATGTTAATGTCTGTCCCCAGGAACTGGACGGAAGTTACAATTTTAACAGATACCCTGGTATAGGGCAATGGTTTTCAAGCTGCGGATCTGCAACCCAGTCGTGGGTCGCGGAATGTAAGGCACTGGGTCATAGCAGCTCCGGTCAGCACTGCTGACTGGGCTGTTAAAAGTCCCATCGGTGGTGCTGCCCAGCTAAGGCAGGCTAGTCCTACCTGTTCTGACACTGCACTGCACCCCGGAAACGGCCAGCAGGAGATCTGGCTCCTAGGTGGAGGCGGGGAAACGGGGCTCTGTGCGCTGCCCCCACCCCAAGCACTGGCTCTGCAGTCCCATTGGCTGGTTTCTGGCCAATGGGAGCTGGGGGGGGGGGAGCCATGCAGAGCTGCTTGAATGTCTCTGCCTAAGAGCCAGACCTGCTGCTGGCCACTTCTGGGGTGCAGCGCGGTCTGCGGTGCCAGGACAGGCAGGAAGCCTGCGTTAGCACCCCTGCTGCATCGCTGACTGGAAGCCACTCGAGGTAAGCCTGTGCCCCAATACCCTGCCCTGACCCTGAGCCCGCGACCCCAACACGGATCCCCTTCCTGCACTCCAAACCCCTCCTCCCTGGCCCCACCGCAGAGCCTGCACCCCCAGCCCAAAGCCCTGAGCCCCTCCCAAACCCCTCATCCCCAACTCCTTTGGGTCGTGGGCATCAACATTTTCTTCAACTGGGTCGCCTGAAAAAAAGTTTGAAAACCACTGGTCTAGGGTAAGCAACATGGAGCTGGATACTAGGGTCTTCAAAATTCTACTTCTTGCTTGGCCATTGATTCACCAGGTGGCCTTCGACAAGTCACTTTACCTCTCCATCTCGGTTTCTCTGTCTGTTAAACTGAACTGATAACACTTGTCTATCTCACAGAGCTATTATGAGGACAATTCTCTTTATACAGCACTTCTAAGTTTTTCTTCATCTGTTGCAGAACCATTGCTGTGGTGCTCAGGGGCCAGATGACTGGGATCTTAACATTTACTTCAACTGCAGCACTGAAAGCAAAAGTCGTGAGAAGTGTGGGGTTCCCTTTTCCTGCTGTGTACCTGATCCTGCTGTGAGTTGTTTCCTGGCTTTGTATTTCTATATTATTACTGGAGAATTTTGAAAGGATGTGCTTCCTGAATATGCTGTAATGTCTAGGGTTTTAAGAAGAAGGGAAATAAAGATTGGGAGGAAGAGAAAATATGCTGGAAATAAACTCTCTCTCTTTTTCTTTGTGTTTGGGGGTGGGGAGAGTATGAAAAGACTTAAAGAAAAAGAACAGGAAGAGTAAATGAAGATGATGGAGGGGAGAGCCTCTGAGAATAGATGCTACACTTGCTCCTATCTTGCTGGAAAATCTGTCTCACTGTACATTGCTATTCCAAATTCCTCAGAGATCCAAAGAAACCTTATAGTCTATTGCTGAAAAACACTGGTGTCGGAACTAGAGAAACTATTTTTGTATCCCTGAAGCCCATGGATGTTGGATATTGTTTTGTTAGAAATCCATTGTTTCCTTGAGTTCCTGGTCTCTTGTTCCCAAAGCTGATGGGACCTGGGAGCTCTGTCTGAGCAGTGTGCTCAGTCCCTAGGGTGAAGGGGGTATCTTAAAACTGTTCTATACCCACCCCTGTGATAGATAAAATAGCACGGGCTCACTGGCTCTGCTGATAAAATGAGTAATCATATTGGCCTCAGTGGGATTTATGCGCCTTAGTGCTTTGCTGGATTCGGGCCCAAAAGCAGTCTGTCTGGCTTGCTTGCCTGGCTGCGACATGAACCTTGAGTTGGACATGAGGACTGTAGTATCTCAGTGCTTCAGAAGAGATTTGAAGGACACCCCTTTCTCAGGGTTTGATTATTCTTTATTTTTTTTAATAGCAGTCTGAATTAGTCGCACTCAGTTTGATTTAATCACAAACTTGTTGTTTCTGGCATTCAGTACTGTGAAACACCTCTTTGCACAAAATGTTATTTTTGGCATTTAATTCCTATAACTGCAAATTATGGTAAATTGACAACTATAATTATGAAGCAAATAGGTTTTCATTTTTATTTTATTTTAATTTTTTTGTTTTCCTCTTAACAAAACTGTGGTCTTGAAATGAATCTCAGTATTACTCACACACACAAGTGTCTCTGTATCCATTGAAGCCACAAGTAATTTCAGTGATCTTTGTGCTCTTTAAGGCTTAGAGTTCAGTACGCTTCAATGTCAGGTCCTATTTTCAGGGTTTGTTAGAATTTTAGAGTCTGATTACTTGATAGACTTTTGAACTAAATGCACTAAAAATAATCTAAGTCAAATAGCTTGTGATCTTGTAGGAGTCCAGCTATTAGCTGATCAAAATCACAAACATGCCACCAAAAGGGGAAAGAAGGGGAGCACGACTGGCTTACAAAAATCCCCTGCACTCTTGTGTAAATAAATAGGCTGGTTTTTTTTTGTTTTGTTTTTTAATCCCGTCTCCAAAACGTTCAACTGTTGTTGCGTGGGACTTCAGCCACGCAACTCCGTAAAGCTGGTTGAAGTTAGTTGGCTGAAGTGACAGAAGTCTTTGAAGGTGTAGGTATTGGATCGTTAGTATTTCAAGAAATAGGTGTTAGAGATGTCTGCAGAGTAGTGATACAGCTGAGCGAGCTGTAATTTATGATGTTGGGTTGGCCTTGGTGATGAAAACTGAGGGTGGAAGAAACAAGATTGTAAGGATGTGTGGGGTCTATAAAGTAATGGGATAACATATCCATATACTTCAGCATGTCTCATGGTCTTATAAAAAGATAAGCTTTTTAAAAAAAAAAAATGCAATAGTGGAGCATGAACAGAAGATAGAATAGTTCCCTCAGTTGGTGTTGGTTGTAGTTTGATCACGAGTCTTCTAACAGATAAACAATGTCCTGTGAACTCAAGCTGGTAGGATTGTATTAATATTTCTAACTTTTTCCCCCTTCCCAGCAAAAGGTTGTGAATACACAGTGTGGATATGACATCAGAGCACAGGTGAGTATCTGCTACCTAAAGTGTTGGTGTTTCTAGCTGGTGGTGGTTCAGATGTGTGATCTAACACACTGATAAATTAGATTGGGTCACTCTTTTCGAAAAACTTAAATATTTTGGCCTATCTTTTTAAATTTGAGAAACTAAGAGTAATAGTCAATGTTTATGCAGGAGCGATAAAATAGAGCAGCAAGGGAAAACTATAAGAACAAATAACTGAATGCTGGACTATACCATCACCTGCATGGAAGCTGCCCTGGGGATTTTCTGTAGCCAGTGAGAGGATCTGCCTGTACTAGGGACAGGTGGAGAGAGACGGTGGATATGTTTAATTGGTGGGAGGTGGTGAGGTAGCGCTGTTATCATTGAAAGAAGAGACTCAAAGTTCAAGTGTATTCCAAATAAGTTTCTACAATTCTGGTTATTTATCAGAACTTTTGAAGGGTGTTCCTAATTAATAGTCAATTTGCAGCAAGAAATATGTACTGATTCATGAAGCTCAAGACAATCTGAGTTACAAGTCTCTAGTTCTTGTACTTCTGGATTCCTTTTAAAAATACTAGTTCTGTCAACTACAGACCCATACAAAGAAATGTTGCCTGCATAGTTCTAGTAAATATAAATGAAAAAGTAACATGCTTCCCCCTTCCCCCCCCCCCGTCTACCCAGAAGAAAAACCGATGGGACAACTTAATTTTCACGAAGGGTTGTATCCCTGCTCTTGAAGCTTGGCTACCCCGAAACATCTACATTGTTGCAGGAGCCTTCATAGCTATCTCATTGCTGCAGGTCAGTGGTTTCATTCTTCTACTGCTACAGTAAAAGCTTCAGCCTCACATCTTCTGTCTACTATGAAGGTAGTTGAAGGGAGGAAAACAATACAGTAACGCCTCACTTAAAGTCATCCCAGTTAACGTTGCTCAGTTGTTACGTTGCTGATCAATTAGGGAACATGCTCATTTAAAGTTGCAAAATGCTCCCTTATAACGTCGTTTGGCAGTCACCTGCTTTGTCCACTGCTTGCAGGAAGAGCAGCCCGTTGCAGCTAGCTGGTGTGGGCTTGGAACCAAGGTGGACCAACAGCCCCCCTATCAGCTTCCCCGCTCCCCTAAGTTCCCTGTGCAGCAGCCGCCCAGCAGGCTATCAATAGCTGACAGTTCAGCTGTCCCTCCCCCCACTGCCGTGCTGCTCCTGCCCTTTGCCTTGAAGCTGCTCCCCGAGCCTCCTGCTTGCTGTGCAGGGGCAGGGACCAGAGAGGGGCTAATGTCAGGGTGTCCCCCTCCCTCCTGCTCCTGCACCCCGCTTACCCCGTCTTCCGTAGAGCAGAGGGGGACACACGAGAGGTTTCAGCACGGAGGGAGCTTCCTGGCAGCAGCTGGTCTCTCAGCTTGCTGATCTACTTAATAAGGCAGTGCATTTAAGAGTGGGGTCAGCATACTTAAAGGGGAAATGCGCCCCCTCTCTCTCTCTCTCTCTCTCTCTCTAAAACACACACACGGTTTGTGTCTCTGTCTCTGTCTGCCATGCTGTCTCCCCTCCCTCCATTCGTGCTGCCTTGTAGAGTGTGAGGCTACATTAAAAACAATGAGTTAACCCTTGAGGGCTCAGCCAGTTGCTAGCTCATCATTTAGCAGTAAGGCATTCCCTGGGAAATATCCCACCCTCTGACTTCACCACCTCAACCAAGCTTCACAATCATCATCACTCTGAACAGTATTAAATTGTTTAAAACTTATACTCTGTATGTATGTATGTATAATATAGTCTTTTTTTGGTCTGGCAAAAAAAAAATCTCTGGAACCTAACCCCCCTATTTACATTAATTCTTATGGATTCGCTTAATATCGTTTTGCTTAAAGTTGCATTTTTCAGGAACATAACTACAACATTAAGTGAGGAGTTACTGTATTTTAGAAACTTTGAAATCCTTGCGTTTTGCAAAGTATGGCAAAAAATTTAACACTGTGTTTTTGAAGGATGCAAGTATGTGGTTTTATTTTAATTTCTTAGCTTTGTGAAATATTAAGTCTCTCTTTAAGGAAAAAAATGCATGGCTTTTAGGTTTTTTTAAAATTGCTAGTAAGGACAAGGCTGCAAAGTGCTGAGGTGTTGTTGTGACCTCTCATTTCCATAGACCTATGTTCAAGCTTGCCTTTGTCACAAGTTCACATGGATTTGCTGGTCTCGTTGCACTTTCATGCCCCTTTTCATCAATATCCTAAAACCACCACATGGTCTGGTACCAATGAACCTATTTGGTAATCTGTGCTCAGGAGAAGCCCAGGACTAGAATAGTGGCGATGTCTGATCTTTAACTGGCTCGTCTTCAAGATCATAGAAGTATTCAGTGACTAGATCTTCTCCTTAAATCAGTAAATTATTTTACATTGCATGATGGACCCACAATGAAATGTAATCTGAGAAAATTGAACTTCCTCTTAAATTTTCAAAAATGGCCCAATTTTTTGTGAAAAACATGAAAGTTTTACCGATTTTTTTTGAACACGTGCACACCCACAACCTTTTTCCAAAATTTATTTTCAACCCAAACCAGTTTTCATTGAAACATTGCAAAACTTTGAATGTTGGGGGCGGAGGGGTTAATTTGAAAAAAGGCCATTTTTGGTGAAAGGCTCAAAATGATATGATGACATTTTTCACACTAAGGTTTGTGGTAAATGTTTCATTCCTTTGGCACAGTTAAATGTGAATTAAACGTACAAAAAGCTTTCAAAGTGGAATATTGACTGAAAGAGAGAGATAGGGTCAGGCTATATGATATCAGAGGGATGGAATGCAAGTCATATGAGCAAAGACTGAAAGAATTGGGTATACTTAGTTTGGAAAAGAGGAAATTAAGGGGTGGGGGGGATGTGATAGTGGTTTTCAAATACTTGAAAGGTTCCCCTAAAAAAAGATGGAGAAAAGTATTTTTCTGTCTTGTCACAGAGGGCAGGGTAAAGGACAATGTGTTCAAACTACTGCATAGCAGATTTAGATTAAATTCTCAGGAAAAACTTCCTAACTGTAAGAACAGTAGGACAATGGAACAGACTGCCTAGGGAGGTTGTGGAAGCTCCTACTCCGGAGGTTTTCAAAGGGAAGTTGGACAGCCGTCTGTCTTGGATGGTTTAGACACAACAAATCCTGCATTTTGGCAGCGGGTTAGACTGAGTAGATGACCCTTGCGGTCCCTTCTAACTCTCTGATTTTATAAATCTTCAAGTTGAATCACTGAACTGGGCAGAAAAATGGAAATGCCTGAAATGTTTAAAAGTAATTGAAATGATGGGAGAGTGTTAGACCTAAAGGAACCTCGCTGAACCTGGCTTCCCACTCTGACACACAGAAGTCATATGATTGTTCCCAGTAGAAGTGTTACATGAAAGCATCTTTTTTTTTTTAATCACCAGCTTTTTGTTTTATGGGCCAGATTATGCCACCCTTACCCTCATTGGGTAGTGTGTAGCTATTTGGGTGAGAAGTCCCTGAGTCTGCAAATATCTTAAGCATAACTTCACTCACATGAGTAGTTTCATTAACGTTAATGGGAATACTCATTTGAGAAGAGTTATACATGTGCTTAAGTGTTTGCAGAATTGGAGCCTGACTAAGAGTAGCAGAATCTGTCCCTTTACTCAGAGCCACCTCACAACTTGGTAATCTCCAGAATGTGCATTTTCCCTCTGAGACTGCTTACAGGTTTTGTGTCTTTTTGTGTTTGTCTTTAGATTTTTGGGATTTTCCTGGCCAGGTCACTGATTTCAGATATTGAAGTTGTAAAGGCAAGTCATCTTTTCTGAAGACAAAAGCAGACACCAGCTGTGAAGACCAATACATTTCACTGCTATTGATTTGACATCAAGGTGAAAAGAAATTGAGAGACACACGGGCCTTGGAGTGCTCCAGGTTTTAAAAGCCTTATTTTTGTATCAGCCAGATGTTACTCTGCTTCTGCTTTTGCTGCAGGCTGGTGCAGAAAGAAGACACTGCTTCCTCCTCCTAATCCTCTTCTCCCCAATGCAACCTGTTTCTTTTTCCAAGGGGAAGACTAGATTTAAACCTCTTTTGGTGTGGAAGACATTTCTCTAAACCTATGAGGGATGGACTGAAAGACTTCAGTAAGCAGAAATGGAAACTGCTGTAAACCAGTCCCTTACCTTGAAGAACTTGCTGCTGTAAGGCCTGTTTTGTCTTGGCTCCCAGCTACCATCACTGGAGGTTGCAAATGTTGCGTTCGTTATGTGGATCATAGCTGCATCTGTTGTGGTGTTTGTCATGGTCTTAGAGGAGAGTGTCCTAAAGATCGACAATGACCCCATTGATGGAATAGGCAACGGAGGTTACTTAACGTCTATTCTCAAAACGTTGTAGTCTGTTCTCGAAACACCAAGCATTTCATTGCATCCTATGTAAGTGGAAGGCCCAGGCAGTTATATCATTTGATTATTGGGAGTCATGATAGTCTTGGTATTAGAGACTGTAAAGAAATGTCATTAAGTCTCCAGTTGTCAGATGGAACCTCAGCTGAGCAGAAGTAGGGAATGTCCCTATATGAGCTAATGTAGATATTTCAGTAGGGACTCAAATGCTTGAGTAACAGAAGCCACTTATTTTGAAAGTTCTTGCCAACATAAGTTTCTCAAGAGAGAGTAATTTAATTATATATTGATAGCATAGTTGGAAATCTTTTAATGAGGGTAGGTGGATTCTCTGATGCTATTACTCCTGTTTAGATGTTTGTAAATAGTTTTAATTTATCAAGGAGAAAATCTCACCGTTTGCTTACACTGTTTTGTAGAGCAATTACTTCTAAAAAGAGTGATATCTGCTGGGCTGAAGGCATTTAACAATTCTGCTTGGTACAAGAGATCACTGAATATGCGATTGTATCTGTCAAGAGCTCTCTAGTCTGCCATCTGTTCTCTTTCACACCTGTCCACTACACTGTTGTTTATCATCTTCTTTGACTGTTGATTGCTATAGTAGGACTAAAAAGACATTCAAGGACAAGCTAAACTCTGTCAGACCTTTGATTCAGGATTTTCCAGGCTAGTCAAAAGCTAATATAATATACATAAGAGTCTAGTGGAGCACTGGAGTTACTAGCATTAATTTATTTTAAGAAATTGTTTGAATGCATTGTTGTTTCCTGTTCCATTTGTCCTTTGCTGCTCAGCCTTTCCTGCAAAAATGCCAGATCCAGTCATGTTGAAGAAATGCTCAGAGCTGTGCCTCCAGAATAATGCTTTAGGCCCTGGCCCAAAGTGAGTGCAACTCCCATTGAAGTAAAACGGGTGTGGCTCCTGTTTACACCAGGGATGAAATTAAGTCCTTATGACATTTCCTGCAAACTGGTGTGCTTAAGACCTGATCCAAAGTCTATGGAGGCCAATGGAAAGACTCCCATTGACTTCAGTGGGCTTTGGATCTGGCCTGTAGTGCTAGTCCAAACCGCTCTTCTGATCTTCTGTGAAATCAAAAATCAGAGTACAACTAACTGTAAAAACTGAAATGTGTGATACATAATAAGGAACGCTTTTAAATAGCTGTTGGAGTGTCAATTTTACTATGGGCTATTTACTAACAAAACTGTTCACTGCTTGTAATGGCACCCTATTTTTCAGGGATAGCAATTATTTGCAGTGCCTAATGTTGTGTAAATTCTAGTAAAGTATATATTTTTGTAATTATATTTTACTATATTGATGCTTGTTTCCAAAGTGTTATGCTTTCTTAGAATGCCAAACTTCTGATTACATCTTTTTATGTACATGTGTTTAACCTTGTGTGTGTTATCTAAGTATTAATGAGCAATTCACTGGAAGAAAGGTGGTACCAGTAGGGATCTGTACCAGCCTTTCTTGCATGAAAGCTAGAAGAAGGCTGCTTTGACATTCTGTGAAACATTTCATAGACAATGCTGTATTTTGTATGTGGCTTTCAGCTGAGCTTTCATGTTTCTTTTTCTGACCAATGACTGAGATGGAACGGGAAAAGGAAGCCTGTCTAAGAATGGCTGATTTCCTCAGAGACCGACACAGAATACAGTGTCTATTGTATCCTTCTACATGACCTGAAGGTAAAATCTCCAGCCATATACTGGGATTTTTTTCTTTGATCTTCAACAAGAAGAAAAACAGTAAGTAGGAGAAGCTGGAAAGAGGGCAAAAGAAGCTGCTTCTACAGAGCCCTGAAACTGAAATCTGTGCCACATGTTTGCTGGATCTATTGCAGCGGTAACAGACTTAAACTCTCTGCTGATATTTGCATTTAGTAGGTAGCACAGCAATGTCTATAATTATTGCTTCAAGTTCTTCCACTAAGAACATTGGTTTGCAGCCCAAGACAACCCGAGGCTTAAAGCCACATCAACCAATTTATGCTTGTGACCTGTGACAATACAGTAATCCATTTAGTTTGAAAACACTACATTCGGTTTGTGAAATGTAGCCACCTGAATTGCATCTAGGGAATAGATTTCACTATTCTCTGAACTTGTGAAGAGGTAGCACTTTCCTGAAAGACCATAAAACCAACAGGCCATTTCTTTAGCTGGGGAAAATCAACACAGTTCCACTAGCTTCGTTGGAACTACCCCAACACCAGCTGAGGATCTGGGCAGGTGTAAGATCTCTCCGTAGTTCTCTGTATCATCAGGTTTCTTCTGCTTGCTTGATGGCAAATTAGTGTCTAACTCCTCTTGTCTTATCAATCGTGTCTTCTGTGCAAAACAAAATTAATCTGAAGTGTAGCTTTTCATAATTAGGTGCTTATTCCTGTTGCTTTTACTACTGTTAACACTTAAAGTTAATAGCAGCTATTTACAACACTCTTGTAAATAATGCTTAATGCCTCACAAAAGCAGAGAAAAGGGTTTTATTATCATTTTTCACTTCTTTCTGCTTCTGAATTTTCAAAAGTGCCTAAATCCCACATACAAAAGTGACTCGGGGATTTAGAAGCCTAAGTGTATTTAAAAGTGACTTTCAATGTGGGACTTTGGCTCCTAAGTCACTTAGGTACTTCTGGAAATTTTGTTCCCAGCCATTTTAAAGAGCAGTTCTGCTGGCAGTGGCAAATATAGTTCGCAAAAACTAGATCCCTGAATTGATATGAAAGATGAACATTTGCCCGTTGCTTACTAAACACACCTTTAAATAGAACATCCTTTATGAACCTGCAGTGCCTTAATTGCTAGAGATATGTAGGTTCTGATTGCCTGAGTCCTGCAAAGCTTAACCAGTTAACTGCTTATGCTGCCTCTAAGGCTCCTAATGAGGAGCAACTCAAATCATTCCACCGCCAAACTTCGTAAATGCTTGAAGTTGAGATCTCAACGGTAGCATTCAGACCAAGTCCACCACACTACAATAGAAACAAGTTCGTTTTTTGTTTTTTGTTTTTTTAATGAAGATATCAGATGTGAACTTTAACTTATATGACCTGAACTTGAGAGACAAAAGCAGAACTAATGGACTGGGCTATGAGACGACATTTAATTTCTAGGAAGTGAGTGCTTTTATTTCTGGGATACTTTATCTTTATTTAGTTTTTCACCGTTATGAGTGACCGTGATAATGGGCTTTGGTCTCCGCTTAATGCACCTTGATTCAGACACACAACTGCTTACGGATCAAGATGAGAATAGATTCTTTTGTGAGCCCCAGACTGAGCAAAGCACACAGAAGTGTATCCCCTTCCCAAAGGAGCACCCCTCTCCTGGGAATCTGAACAATCCACCCCATGTTGCAATGACCTTTTGTACAGCACAAGAAGGCTGGAGTGCGCTCCCATCAGAGTCTGTCAAGGCTGCTCCACAACTCAGCCTGAGCTGTGTGTCAAGCTGCTCCCCTCTTTTCCAGAAGCTAGACATGTAGCTTTAACAGTGTTTCTAGTCCACAAAAGGATGGATCAAACTCTGCTCCCCAGTTGGTTTCCCTGGGGTTTGGTTTCTTTTTCTTCCAATACCTTTGTCTTCTAAGCCTTAAAATAAATTGACTTAATATATCAAACCTCATGTCTTTCATCACTGGACCTGTGTTTTCTTTTCAGCTCTGAGACTTGTTGGATCCAACCATTTGTAAATTGAGTGGTTTTTATTGCTGAGGTTTAAATTCTCTATTGATGCTTTTGATGACCAGCACAAACAAATGAGACGGTGTGCCTTTAGCATACGTGCTTTTGTTATGTTTTTACATCGAGACCTTTTTAATTCATTCTTACGTTGCACTCCCAGCTGCCAAATGTTGCTTATGATTTATTGCACAGATGCTTTGTATGGTCTGCCAATGTCAAAGATTGTAATTGAGTGTTGAAAGCCAGTGTAAAAGTGTTTCAAGGAGAACTGTAAAATGCATTGTAGAGAAACAGTGGCTAAATTTGCAGTCCCTAAAATTTGTATAAATAAAGTTAATTTTCATTACATGTATCACTCTTTTTAATTTTATTTTTTTTAAGAAAGGACTTAACGCCTCTCTGCCATGACATTTACTTCAGGTCTGTTAATTTCAGAACTTCATGATATTGCACTTTGCTAGGCTTCTGAGACGAGCTACATGGACAATTTAAAAAAATATAGCTAATTTGAAAAATGTCTTTTATACTAGGAATTATTTTTTAGACATGCTTTAAATTTTTCAATAAATCCTTCACCAGGAGGTGCAAGGAGGGATAAAAATGAAGATATCTGAAATGAGACAATATTTTGTATTTCAGCCCTTGCTGAAAGGTCAGTTGCACAAGTGTGTTACATGTATGCACAAATCTGTATTCATTCCTTTTGTGTGTAATTAGTCTTCTATGACACTATTGCACCTTGGTTTCTATAGACATTCCATTCATTTTAAGTGTCTTCCTTTACTTAATGACTAGCTTTTCTGATGTCACACATGACTGACATTTAAATATTTTGTACAAGAGTATTCATGCAGCCATGTAAGATTGCTGTGATAGAACACTGACTGAATATTCCCCTCATGTAGAGAGTAAATATTTGAAATCATTCCAAACTAAACTTTTCTGGCCCTGATTCTCCTTTTCGAATACATCTAGACTGGAGTTTAGAGCCCTACTGTAATCCGAGTTGAGACACTGCTAATTAGCTGGAGTAGACTAACACCTTTGTGAAGGTTTAATCTAAATACTCCACAAATGTTTGTTGTGGGTTACAAATGTTTGATTTACCCTGAGGGATGCTCCAATATACAAGTTTCTTGCGGGCTGTCCATGAACTGCTCCAGAATTTTTGTAATGATGTGGACTATGGAGATTCCCCCTCTCACCCTGGATGTGTCCCCTGTACCAGGGATTCAGAGAGGGCCAGGGTAGGTCTGTTCATGGCAGCCCTATGGTGTGCAGAAGCTGAGTTCTTCCCCAGCCTCTTTTGTGTCTAGTCTGGCAAGTGGGGGGGCACAATCTGTCCCATGTCACCTTATAAAGTCTGACATGTTGGAGTGTCCCTTGGAGTGTCTAATGCAGCTGTAGATGCTTGGTCCCTCTCAGTTGGTGCAGACAGTAATGTAGTGAAGTATACTGCAAGGAGTGTGGTGTGGGGTCCTTTCCCCAGGAACAATACGCATAACCAGGGAAGAGTTAAAACAAAACACAACCTAGTATATCCATGCAGTTACTGAAATTTATTCCTTAAAAAGATATTTGGTCATGCATTGTGATCAAGAAAGCAGCTGAAATTAGGGAGGAAAACAGAATCTGAGATCATCAGAGCTGCTCTGGTGCTGAAATGGAGCCTTTCAAGAAATGTAAATACAACTTACTCCCACTTTAGGGCTACTTTATTCTGCCAGACCAGCATAAAGGGATCTTTAGTTTAAAATGAGAATCATTCTAATGAGTCATGTAATGACTCAGCAGACATTCTGAAAGCTAGGGGAGTAGGAGCTGCTCCATCCATCTCTCACAGTGTCCATCTCAAGCTCTGAGGCCTCCTGCCAACATTGCCTCAGCAGAGGACTCTGCATGTTGGGAAATAAAAATTGCAGTGGGCCTGGCCCACTTCCCAAACAGATTACCACAGCAGCCAGGGTGTCAGGCTGGGGGGGAGAGACACCCCCGCCTGCTGCACCTGTCTCTCCAGGGGGCTGAAGGGCACATCTTGCCACTAGTGCTAGGCCTGGGGAGAAAGAGAGGGCAGGAGAAGAAGGATCTTTATTTACAGTTTCTATGGAGGGAAGAGGCAGCTCCTTGCCCCTGTCCCTGCCACAGGGGGTGTTCCTGCTGTAGTGTAGCTAGGGCCCCGGATTGCCTGTAGGTACATGCAGCTGCAGTAACACAGTGTGGGTGCAAACTAGAAGTACAAATGGATATAAGTGTTGCATGTACAGTTTTGAAAATGAGGCCCAACATGTCAATGAGAGCTGTAGCCTGCACTATGTTTAATAGCATTTAGCAGACATCAGCGTGATAAATATGGTGGCTGTTGGCAAAAGATAACGTTTTATTGGAATACCCCAGCTGCCAGAGAAAGCAGCACCAACAGCTATGGAGAAACAAAGCCGGTGTTTTGACTCTCATCTCTCAGTATCTGGAGGGTCATCACAGCCTGCTTGACCACATTTGCATTGCTATGGCTACAAAGTTTTTCCAAGGTTTCTTTAATGTTGTCCTCTTCTACTTCTTGTTTCAAATCACCTGAAGGGAGATCAAACACAGACTTCAATGACATGCATGAGTCCAGACTCTGAAGGAGATACTACAATGTAAGGATGTATTACAGCCGCAGGTTAACTCCGCTGTGTTTTATTTAAATACAAACTTATTTAGAGTCTCACTTGGGATGATGATTTTTGGAAAGAAGTTAACTTATTTGCAAGTGTTAACTAATTGCCCTGTATAAATATCTTTTCTTTTATTACTTCACCCTTCCCAGAAGACCTAGTTGTAAAATAATAATTTTTCAGAATGTATTACAACAGCCATGCTCCTGCCTCCACCTCATGCTTTATATTTTGCTTCAGCATTTCATACCAGGAAGATTTGACACTCAGCATCAAAATTAAAAGATGTCTGTAGCGTGCTAATGAAATAGACCACTGAGAAAATCTTTACGGGTCAGATCCCCAGCCGCTGTAAACCAGCACAGCTCCACTGAAATCAATAGAGCTTTGTTGATTTATACCAGCTGAGGATCTGACCTACCTGGTTTATGGTTCAGCAGTCTGGGTCCATGGGGTGGTATGAGGACTGTTGGGATATAATAAATGGGAAAAAGTCTGCCCAGACAATAGATTTTTAAACTTAGAAATTCTTGGGTTTTCAAAAAATATTTAAAAATCTGGAACCCACTTTCAGGTTTCCCCTGAACCATTCTAGAAAAATGGGGATTAAAAAAAATCAGAACTATTTGGGCAGACTCTCTATTGACACATAGCAGACTTAGAGTCAGCTTAATCAGGCAGCTGGGGATTCCTCCCAGGAGAGGAATTTCTAGGCAGCATGGTGCCAGCATGGCAGTTGTTTGTCCACACCCCTCCCTAGCCTCTGTGTAGGGGACAACATGGCTAGGAGATGGGGGGTGGGGTCAGCGAGCCAGTATATCTTGAGCTAATTGGTTGCAAGGCTGTCGTACACATTTTGCTTTGGGTATGAGAGCTGGTGCATGCTAGCCCCAAAACTGAGGAAGCATGAAGGTGTCTGTGTTACTTTGCTCCCTCCTCTAGACTTTTGACTCTTGACTCCATCACAGGTAATTCCAATGACCTCAGTGGACTTCTCACAGGGAAAGGTGGTATCCCATGAGAGGAAGAATGGCTGTCTGGTCCTTACCTGGCAGAAAGAAAGAAACCTCTGAGTCTTGCTGCTGCTACTTTGTTGTTTGGATGCAACCTCGCATCTGGTTGAAAATACTTAGTGACACAGTTTTTGTAATGTCACAGTAACAGACATGGACAGGCGTTTAGTGCCAAAGTGAAATTACCTGAATTAAGAAGGCTGCACAGTAGGCCCATTGAATTATATTTCACCTCTGGACCTGTGCTCTCATCTTGTAGAAGCTTATGTAAGCTTCGAACTAGTCTCGACTCCTTAAGTGACTCTTCGATGACTTCTGAAAATAAAATTAGAATTATTTCCATGACACCTTATGTTTTCAATGAAAAATTCTTGGGTAACTTGCATATGAAAAATGAAGGTCTGTCAAACAAGATAGAAAACGGCTGACTTGCCTTAATGCAGATATAAGGCCTGGTCCAGTGAAGTGCTGAGCACCCCCCAGCACCTCGCAGTATCAGGCCCATAAAACAGCTCAGCCGTAGGTAGTAAATTTTCTACATCATGGCTTAATTCATATGTATCAATCTTTACTAGCCTTCCCTCACATTCTCATAGTTGTGGGTAGCTGACTTAATCTTCTGTATATAGATCTTTTTCTGACTTGACCAATGCTGGCAGCACTGATCCATGTCTAAGAGTACATTCCTTTCTGGCTTTAGTCCATGATGGAGCTTAGCATTAATATTGGCTTCTTATAGTTGGGTCTTAAATGCAATCGTTGTTGTTCTTCTGATTAGACTGTAAGATCTTCAGGATAGTGTCTTTTATGTCCTATATATGCAGCACCAATCTTAATAAATATCAAGCCCCATTTTTTCAAAGGTGCTGAGCAACCGCAAATCCAGTTGAAGCTGACGGGAGCTGTGAGTGCTCCATGCTACTAGGAATCCAACCTATTAATTGTAACTGTGAAGAGGAGGGTATTTCTTTCATTCAGAGCTTTTGCAGGATCCTTTAGCCTATTTTGTTATTTATACTTTCTCAAGTCTATCCAAAATGCCTCTGCTACAGTCCTCTTCCTATCTACCATGACACTACTTTATCCTTGAATCATCTTGCCTGTCATTTAAGAATGAAGGCCCAAACTAATTTTGACTCCACTAACATCTCTACACTCCTTTCCCCTATTAAAATTCTTGCTTCCTCTCTACTCTTCCTGATTCTCCCTTTGTCATGATCTTGGTTTCATGCCCTCTAACAAACTGACCAACAGGTATCAAATAACTTCTTGTCCCTATCTACCAAGCATCCTCGATTCTTCAAATCCCTCCCCAAAACCAACCGCTTCAAGAAATCCCTTGTTCCTGCTTCTTACTGGTAATCCCCAGTCCCTCTGCTTCTGTCCTGTTGACAGTAAAATAGACCATAATCTTTTCAAGGCTAGGAATATACCTTACATAAATTCTGTAAATCACTGTGCAAATTAACAGGGCTATAAAACACTTGTATAAATAACAAGAACGACATCTTAAATGATTACTCAGGCCAATGTTCTGGGGGAGGGAGGATACCTAAATTAATTGCAGATGCTATGGCCAGTGCAATCAGAGCTTCATTCTGCATGATAACATGTTCACTTGTTGTCATGGAAACCAGGTGCTTCACTCCTTGTGCCTGCTGGATGGCTTTGACTACTTCCTG